AGCTCCTCGACCCGGCGCGCCGCGCGGCGATCCTCCGCGGCCGCCGCGTGGCCTTCGTGCTCTCGACGCCGTCGTGCCGCGCGCACGCGCGCGTGAACCGGCGCCGCGCGGAGGCCGCGACGGACGACGTCGACCTCTTCCTCGCCGCGGAGCGCGCGCTCGCCGCGGACGCCGCGGCCGCGGGGCACCCGGCGCCCCACGGCGCCCTCGAGGCCGGCGACGCGCCGCCGGACATCGCCGCGCTCATCGGCTCCGCCCTCGGCCGGGCCGTCTTCCGCCGCGACGCCGCGGCCGTGTCCGCGCTCCGCCGCGCGCGGACCTTCGCGGCGACCTACGCCGTCCCCGCCGTCGCGGCGGGCGACGCCCGGGGCGCCCTCGCGCCCCGGACCGTCCTCGACGCCTACCTCGACGCCGAGGGCGACGCCGCGCTCCTCCCCGAGTGGGGCCGCGGCCACGCGCTCTTCGACGAGCGCGCCAAGGCGCGGACGCCGCGCGCGTTCGCGCCGCCGCCGGCGCGCCCGCTGGACCGGGCGCCCGCCGCGGCCCTCGCGCGGGCCCACGGCGGCGTCAACTTCGCCGCGCCGCCGCCGCGCGGCGGCGCGGCGCCGCGCTGGCACGCGCTCGGCGTCAAGGCGACGTCCGTGCTCATGGGCTACGCCGCGGACCGCTTCACGCGCGCCGCGGGCCTCGTCAACGACGCCGCCGCGTCCTGGCGCGCCCTCGGCAACACGATCCAGAAGGACGTCCTCGCGTCCGTCGTCGCGCCGTGGATCGACGCGCTCAAGGCCGCGCGCGACGCGTGAGCCGCCGCCCAAGCTGGCGCGCGCCCAAGCTCGCGCGCCCGAAGCCGGCGCTCCCCCGTGAGCCGCCGCCCACGCCCGCGCGCGCCCAAGCTCGCGCGCCCGAAGCCGGCGCTCCCCCGAGCTCCGCGCCGCCCCCTCCCCTAAGCCATGCCCGTCCGACGTTATCGCCCGGAGAACCGCGCGACGATGGCCGCGGCGGCCTCCCTTGCCCGGGCGACCGCGGCGTCCTCGGCCGGCGGCGCCGGCGGCGCGAAGGGCACGCCGAGGGACGAGAAGAGCGCGTCGACGCTCGACGCGACCGCGGCGGACGGCGGCGGCGGCGCGGCCGGCGCGGCCGGCTGCGACCGCGTCATCCACGCCGGCATCGTCGCGCCGCGGCCGCGGCCGCCGGCCGCCGGCGGCGGCGGCGCCCGGTACCGGTCCGCGAAGGCCTGGGCCGCGGCGAACTGCTGGCTCGGCGGCGCGCCGAGCAGCGGCGGCGGCGCGGCGCGCGGCGGCGGCGCGT